GACGCGTAACTCAGAGCAGGGTTTTGGAGTGTCCTGCATGATGAAATTGTACGCAGCAGCGTGCCGACGTGCAACGACTCGCATCGCGACTATTTAATTTTCAGTGATGTGCTGATCCCATGCTTGAGGTCTGTGGGAATGTTAGAGGATGCCCACGTGGGTCTCCATAGGGCCGTACTTGTGCGACTGAGCGGGCTCGGGGGTGCTAACTGCATCCGCCGCCGAATCCAGCATGAAAAGTTGTTGTCGCCCTCGAAGCGTCTGTGCCCGGTGACGTTTCGCTGTGGCCAGATTTTGATTTGGCAGAAAACGAATCGCTCGATAGTCTTTCGCGTCGGTGGTTTTCCTCGGCTGAGCCCCGCCTGAGTCTCTATCTGGCAGTTCCCGTCGCCGAGCGGCGAGCGGCCCAGGTGCTTTGGGCGCGCTGCTGGATGCAGACTTGGAAAGTCCCTCTGGCCTGCGAGTGGGGCAAGAGTCTCAGGAGGAAGACCGGCCTCTCCACCCAGAAGTGGCCCTCTGCGCGTCGCCTGGCCATGCAGCGGCTGCGAGCTGAGGGCAGAGATTCCGAACCTCAGTTTGCCCAACAGTCCAGCGTAGCGCGAGTGCTTACTGACTATACGGGGATCTGGAAGGGCCCCATCTGGGTGGGCAAGGATGGAGTTTCTGTCAATTCGCTCTCGGACTTTTCAGAAGACCTCAGGGGCCCAGTCAGGTGGCCTCAGGTTTGTAAATGTTTGCAAGACCAGGCGCTGTCGCGCTCGGGCGCTGATGCGGCCTCCGCCGAGCAGAGCTGGAAGGAGCATTCGGAGCTGGCTTTCGCCAATGGGGCCAGCTTGGCCCGCCGCTTTTCGGAGGGCCCGAAAGGGGCCGCTGTCGCTGACCTCTCCCAGGGCCCCCCCGTTGTCGGGCGCGGAGCTCTGCGGCCGATGCTGACGGACTGGGCGGAGCTCTGGATCTTCCCAGCCCGAGCCCCTGATGGGGCATCTGCTCGGATGGGATGTCGGCCCAGCTGAGCCGCTGCCTCGGTTCACGGACAATGACGTGAAGGCAGGGCTCGGCTCACTCGAAGGCGCGGCCGCACCCGGATGAGGTTGTTTCCGTCTTCGGTGGATGGAGAAGCTTCCCTCGGTCCCCGCGTCTACCCTCGCGCTTCTCCAGCTGTCGTGGGGGGATAGACCCGAGCTCGCCGACGTCTGGGCGACCTTGATCGCGTTCCTTCCTGAGGTCACAGGCGGAGTCCGTCGTCTAGGCTTGCTCACGCTCTTTGCGCGCGTCTGGTCCCGTCTCAGGCACAGGGTAGCTGCTGGCTGGGAAGCGACCCTGCCAGACCGCTTCTTCTGGGGTGGCCTCGTCTGAGACTGCGCGTGATAAGTCGGCGCGGGTCCATGATGTCGTATCTGGCGTCGCTCCCTACTTTCACTCTGTCAGTGCTTGCGCGTTTATAGATCTACGTAAGTTTTATGACATGGTGTCACATCGGGAGTTCGATGTGCTGCCAGTGGCGCAGGTTTCCCCCGGAAGCTCCCGGGGCCTCCACGCGCTCTGTATAGGGGGGCCCGGAGGGCTTCGTATCATAACTCCACCTCGGACGTGGTTTCCGCTGGCGGGACGACCGTCGCAGGGTGTTCCTGCGCCGCGGGGCTCGCGAAGCTAACGACGCAGACGGTCCTTCGGAATGTCGGGGCAAGCGGCCGCTCGCTCCGCACCAGCAACTTGATCGACGACGTGAGTCTGCGCGTGCGTCGGGGGCCCCGATGTGGTCTCGAGGGAACTCTCTTGGGTGTTATTGGAGGTCGCGGGCTTGCTGCAGGCCCGAGGTTTGCCGCTCGCTTGGGGCAAGATGGACTTTCTCTGCGATGGCGCGGAGACTTTCAGTGCGATCGAGGACGAGGTGGCCGATTCATGGCCCGCGGGCACCCCGTTCCTTGGTCGAGGTCAGTTCCATCGAGATCCAGGGGGAGATGCTTGTGGCGGTCGTCGCAGGAGGATGGGTGCGCAACTCGCTCGGACCAGGGGCGCGATGGCCGAGGGGGACAGGTGGCTGGCCTCGCAGGGCCTTGGGAAAAGCGTTCAGCTGTACATCGCGCTGGCGTGTTAACAAAGGCCCTGCGGGGCTGTTCCATCGCGGGCGATCCTAGCAGCAGGATGCAGCAGCTAAGGGTGTCCTTTTCTCAGCGCGGGGTCTCGGTTCAAGCCTGAATCCTCGGTGGGCCATTCCCTCGTGTGTGCTGAAAGCGGGTGGCAGAACGAGCCGCTGGTCATCGCCGCTGCCGGTGCAGCCAACGCCTATCTTGTCGCCCTGGCGTCTGGGGCGATCAGCGCAGCGATGGTCGCCGCGTTGATGGGTGGAGCGGCGTCGCTGCTCGATGACCCCCGGGCGTGGCTCAAGTGTAAGATTCCGATTGCGGCGCTTATGCTAAATTTGCGTCGGATTTGCTGGAAGTTGCTGGGTCCCGTCACCATAGTGGACGATGAGGGCGCGTCTTGGGATCTCACTTGCATTGCCATGCTCGGCGTGAGGAGGCAGATCGACCGAGATGCCCCTGTGCTGCTTCAAGGCGCAGGTGCGACCAGGACGGGCCCGCTAGCTTGGCGCCCTGTTCTCGAATGTTTGCACGGCAAGAAGCTGACGCCTCATGAGAGGAGGTCGTTGCGATGGGTTACCGCGGGCGCTTTTTGGACGCGGATCCGCGTGGCCCGAGCCTTCGCAGGAGAGCCATGCCTCTGTGCGCGATGCCAGGCGGCCCCTGGTTCGCCGTTCCATCGCTTCTTCGTCCGCGACGCTTTTGCGGCCCAGAAGCAGTTGCTGATCCCCGACGTTGTCCGGGGGGCGGCTTTTCGGATGATGAACGATGAGGGAGCCCAGGGACCGCCGAGACAGTCTCGCTCGAGGGCTGCTATCCCATGCGGGCCGAGCGTTTCACGGTGGAGCCAGGAGTCGGGACCATGACATTATCGATGTAGACCGCCGTGGTGTGGTCTCAGTGCAAGATGGGTACGTTCCTGTGGACGGCAGCGCTTTCGCGGTCCAGGTGCCAGAGTTGCGGGCGGCGGGCTGGGCGGTGTCGGTCTACGACTCGGAGAGGCAGCGTGTCGCTCGGTATCATGGCGCTGCCCCTCGTGCTGAAGGGTCCAGTCAGGTTGCCCGGGATGATGGGGGCCTACGCGGTGCTCGGCTCGCATCATGCCAAGTCTGGTTGTAAGGGCTCGGCGGGCTGTTGCCGCGGGCTCCGAGTGGCATGTGGGCCAGGCAAGTTTCGGGCCCACGCGAGGAGAATGGTGGCTCCTGCCACGCTGCCTTCAGCCGCGCGAGATTCCATGCTGCTGGCGACGGCCAGGAAAGGTTTGTCCGAGGAGCTTGCCGCCTACACGCGATGCTGCTCACGTGCGTCGCCCAGTTCGAGGTGTGGTTGTATGAGCAGGAGGAAGAGCTTCGTGATTACACCTTTCCTGAAGCTGGGGGGGATGCAGTGGTGTCTCCTGTGCAGGATGCAGCGGACACGAAGGGATTCCTTTCTTGGCCATGGTTGGTTCAGCGTCATGAACTGCTGGAAGATCCAGTTGACGGTCAGACACGCTCGCTCGTTTTCTGCACCAGTTGTTGCAAGTGCTCGGGCACGGGTCGCCTCCAGCATCGTGGTCTTGATTTCCGATGCTGTGGCCGTCTGGGAGGCTGCGGCAGAGCGCACGAGGACGCGAGTCACTTCCAGAACTTAAGGCACCCGCAGAGCCTGCACAAACAGGTTCGGCTTCATCACGCACGCAGGCCAGCTGAAACTGTGAGAAGGAATCTGTGCACATCCAAGGGTTGGCAGGACTCTCTGAGAGATGACGTGTTCATCAGTCGCCCCAAAGGGAAGATCAGAGCCCAACTGCAGAGTTATCCCGACACAGCGTGCATCCTGGCGGACCATGGCCTAACCTACCCCAGGTGCTTGGAGTTGGGGGCTCCTCGAGATGATGGAAGCGATGGTGGAGATAACTTGGATGTGGCATGAGCGTCCTGTCTCCTGCCAGTGGTTCCTGTTTTTGTTTGGATCCCCGCTGGTACAGACTCTCTACTGAACTCGTTCAACTTTCAAATCCTGCTTGGGGCAGTTTCACGTCGCCGAGGTGGCTGCAACCTGCCTGGGCCATTGGTGATGCATGTTGCTGGCCCTTGGGTACCCAGTGCGTTGGTTGGGCTAACCTCGTTTCGCCACGGTGCGGCTCGAGCGCCGCCGTTGTGAGCCACATTGACTTGCTGGTGCTGCTGCGGGCCAGCTCAGTGGTGACGGCGCTGGGTGTGCGGCACTCCGGCAACGCCCAGCTCGCGCTGCGCCCCCTCGTGGTCGGCCCCCTTGTGCCGCTGCCGGGCACCGTCCCCGCCCTGCGGGCCCCGCTCTTCGGGGACATGCATGTGAGCGCGGGCTTGGCGCAGGCCCCGTGCTTACGTGGGCGCCTGCGCGGCGCCGTTCGGAGGGCACCAACTATACACTTACATCGATCCAGCCCAGGCCGATCCTATGCCCAGGATCGGTGTGTATGCATTCTGCCCATGGCAGGAGGGCGTATGCACCGATCCTGGGCCCAGGGTGATCCTGGCCGGGATCGGTGTTGGTGTACAGTTGGTGCCTCCCTAGCCGTGCCGCTGCTGGGGGTTTGGCGGCCCCCCCCCGTGCTCGGGCCACCACCCAAGGACGACTTCGGGCCCCCTGGGCGGTGGTCCGAGCGGGGAGCAAGGCCGTGCCGTCGAGTCCCTCGGGCCGCTCTCGGCCCCGTGCCGCTCGCCTCTCTGCTTCTGCATTTGCTCGCTCGCTCGCTCGCTCGCTCGCTCGCTCCTCCCCCTCCTCCTCCTCCTCCTCCTCCTCCTCCTCCTCCTCCTGCTCCTCCTCCTCCTCCTGCTCCTGCTCCTGCTCCTGCTCCTGTTCCTGCTCCTCCTACTCTTCCTCCTCTTCCTTCTCCTCCTCCTCCTCCTCCTCCTGCTCCTTCTCCTCCTCCGCTTCCTCCTCCGTCGCCTTTTTTGCTCAAGGCTGGCTGTCAGAGACCGTCCTGCCCGAAAAGTCAGTTTGCAGATCTCGCCTGGGCAAATAGTGAGCATTGCGCCAGCCAGAAGTGGCGATGGCAGCGAGGCTCTCTGCACCGGGCGTGGTCTCGACAAGCTTCGAGGGTCTCCTGCAGGAGCTGGACGAGCTGAGGGCCCGCCTGCTTGATCAGCACAGGCGCGAGCTTGGCGCCAGCATGCCCTCTGAAGCTGACGCTCCCGAGGTGTGGGATCGGACTCTCCAGGGCCCCGCGGCCACTTCGAGATTCTCGACCGCTGACTCGCGCGCAGACGTGCGCACTGCCTCTTCGGTGCTGTCGGGGCCAGAGACGCCAGCCCCGCGCGCAGGCGTCGGCTCTCCCTCGACGGCTCGAAGACCAGCTGGACCATCCGAGGTGGACGCCGTGGTGGTGCACGAGCGCTTCCGGCTTCTGGAAACCTGGCAGGACAGGGTGCGGGACGCGCGGCTCATGGGCACCTGGAGGAGGACGGAGCTCGACCTCCTTCCGGGCCGAGTCACGACAGGCACGATCAGGTCGACCGGCATCGGCATGCGGCAGGACAAGGGGCTGATGTCCAGGGTGGTGCTGCACCCACAGAACCCACTGGTCGTCGTCTGGAATTTCCTCAGCGTCGGCCTCATCGCTTATGAGTCCGTGACCGTCCCCCTGTACACGTGCTACACGTTCCAGGAGTTCCCAAAGGTCATCGAGATCTTCGATTGGGTCTCCAGGATTTTCTTCACTATCGATATTCCCCTGTCGTCGGCGACGGGCTTCCACGACAAGGGCTACGTAGGGCTGAGGCCAGGCAGAGTACTTCAGGCGTATCTCACGTCGTGGTTCTTTCTCGACCTGTTAATTGTCTCGCTGGACTGGATCGTGCTCGTGCTGGAAGACCAGAAGGCCCTCTCGGCGGTGCCAGTCCTGCGAGGTCTGCGGCTCGTGCGCGTGCTCCGCCTGATCAGGCTTGGTCGGCTCAGTCACGTGATCAACGAGTCGTTGCTGTACGCGTCCGACGGGGTCACGATCCTCGTCAGGATCTCGAAGCTGACCCTTACGCTCTGCATCACCATCCACCTGACAGCAAGCATCTGGTATGCCATCGGCACAGAGTCCAGCTCTGGCTGGCTCTCTCAGGAGCCTCTCCTGGATTCGGCCGCGCTCTCGGCACAATACCTCGTTTCTGTCAATTGGGTCGTCACCCAGTTGCATGGCACGAGCCTCGTGCGTCCGCAGACCCTCCTGGAAATGTTTTTTCAGACACTGGTGCTCCTGGGTGCAAATGCCTTCGTCGCGGTTTTCTTTGCCAGCACGATGCAGGCTATGATGGCTCTCACAGACGCCCACAACTTGAAGATGCAGTCCCTCTGCAGGGGCTACCTGCGTCGCCGGCGCATCTCCCCCAGCCTCTCGCACAAGCTGCAGCTGCACTTCGGACCGGCGCGCAGCATCAAGACCACCCTGCGGGACAGCCAAGAGGTCGAGAACAAGCTGGTCGAGGAACTCCCGCCCGTCCTGCGGCGGCGCCTCTACGAGGAGGTGCGCCTGCCCCTCTTGAGCAGCACGCGGCTGTGCCGGACGAGCGGTCTCTCGGACTACCGGCTGCTGGCGCAGCTCTGCTGCGATGCCGTCTCTGGGGTGTGCGCGGAGCCGGGCGAGCTGATCTTCACCAACGGTGACGCTTGCACGCGGATGCTTGTTGTCGAGTCGGGCACCAGCCTGTACGTCTTCGAGGCCTCGGCAGCAATTGAGCAAAGTCTCGCAGGCCCAAGCTTCGTGAAGGCCCCCAGCAGTTCCGCGGAGGCTTCCGGCTGCCCTCGCGGCTCGGAGTGCCAGCGGCAGGACTCCGAGCTCCAGAGGGGCCGTTGCCTCTGCGAGGCGTCCCTCTGGACACGGTGGGCGAACCGTGGCGAGCTGACCGCGGAGAGCTACTGCACGATGCTGGCCGTGAATCAGACGGACTTCGCCTCTACTTTGACCAAGTACGAGCTTCTCTGCGCGTCCGCCGTCAGGTACGCGTACTGCTACATCGTCTGGCTCAACGAGAAGAGCGCCGAGGAGAATGTGTCGGACTTGACGGACGCCCCGGTCAATCTGAGCGAGTACACGCCCTCGATGGTCGATGCCTCCATCCCATTCGTGTTCATCTCGCACTTCAAGGAGGAGGCGGGTTCGGATGCCGCGCTCATGGAGGAGGGGATCTCTCGCATCATCAAGGAAGATCCATGCCACCCGGCGTACCGTCTCGAAGCGCCAACATTCCTCGACTCCAACAACCTTGGCGACCTCAGGCTCATTCGCAGCATTGTCAGGAGCAGCCATAATCTCCTCCTGCTTCTCACGGACCGGGTGCTCGAGAGACCCTGGGTTCTTATCGAGATCGTGACTGCCATGAAGTCAGGCGTGCCCATCCAGTTGGTGCAGATTCAGCGCCCCGGCGTGCGCTTCGAGTTCCCCACGGAGGAGGACATCAATCGCCTCGCGGCCCGCGAGGGCCTCAGCCAAGATGCCAAAGCCCTTCTGACGGCCCAGAAGATCACCTCCAAGGACTTGAGGGCCATCGGCCAGATCTTCGGCAACGTAGCCCTGCCGTTCTCCCCGCACCGCTCGCCCACCGTCAGGCGCGCCGAGCTCCTGGACATCCTCGCACGCTGCAGGTTCGACGACAACCCCAGGGTCGCCCCCAGGACAAGGCAGGACTTGCTGCGCTACTCGGCAACCCAAGATAGCATCAGTCTCCCTGCCGCGGAGGCGCAGAACGAGGAGCTGAGAGTGTGAGAGTGCAGGACGGGCGGGGCCCAATGCAGGAGGTGGTCGGACCACGCAGAGGAGGAGGAACATGGAGGAGACAGCAGGAGGAGGAGGAGGAGGAGGAGGAGGAGGAGGAGGACCAGGAGGAGGAGGAGGAGGAGGAGGAGGAGGAGGACCAGGAGGAGGAGGAGGAGGCTGCGGCTCGCTGGAGCTTGGCTCCCTGAGAGCCGACCCTGCGTGCCGCGGCCGCGGCTAGCTGGCCTGAGTGTGGGGGGGGGGGCACCGCGTGCGGTCGTCTCCGCCTGGCCACATCCATTTTCCATGGTCGATTTCTGCGTGTCATCCTTGCGCGTGTTGTGATCGGTGTCGATTCCCAGAGGGCAAGGAGCGCTGCGCAGCAGCATGAAGATTGCGTAGTTGTTAGCGACGAAGTCAAATGATACGGGATCGCCCTTGCATGGAAGGTCGCTGTCCAGCCGCCTTGCTGCTCTTTCTAACGAGCTTGCCGCCTGCTTCTGCTGTGACGGAGAGCCGCTATGAGAGCTCTGCTCCGATGGGCCGATCGTTCGTTCTTAGTCAGCAGCACTGCGAAGAGGAACCATAGCACATTGCTTTTGCAGGGTGAGCAAAGCTTGCATTCCCGCGCTGGGCTCGCCATGTTTTTTCCCGGGCTTGGGCCCAGGTTTCTCTTTTGGTGCTGTGCACGCTCCGCCTCCTCTCGGCGTCACCCCAACATACGTACACTATATGTGCGCCGCCCCCTCAGGGGCGACGCGCGCACCGAGAAATCTTACAGTATATGCGTCGTGGCGGGCGCTTTCTGGCCACACCGCTCGGGAAACGATATACTACAAGATGGGTGTACTACATGTTCGGGTCGGACGCGCGCCTTCAAGGAGGACATATAGTACTAGTATGTCTCCGTGCGTCCCATCGTCCGCTTCCTCCTCCTCTTCCTCCCCACTCCTCCCCCTGTTCCTCTTCGTCGTCCTTCGCCTCGTCCTCTGCTCCTGCTCCCGTCCTCGTCGTTGCCCTTGTCCTGCTGCCCCCCCTTCGCTCCTCATCGCCAGCGCCCTCCTTGCTCGCAGAGGGCACGCGGAATGGCGTCAACCTTCTGAGCAATACACTCGAGGAGTCCAGCACCCGCATCTCAGGACGCATTTGGGTTCAGGTGGTGCTTTCCTGGATGATCTCCTCCCCGCTACACTTTACAGCCAGGCAGGCGTATGCTCTGTGCCCATTAGGACTGGCATCCTCACCAGTGCCTCCTCTGCCTTTCCTGATCCGCTGCGCCGTCCCGACCTGATTCGTTGGCCTCTTCACGTCTGTTGTCTCTCGATGCACCGAGCACGCTGGCTCAGGTTCGACCAGCGTCAAAAACAGGGGCGACACAGACCTCGCCTCAGCATCCGCCTCCGCGCACCAAAGCACCACATGAACAGTTCTCGGGCGAAGTTGGAATTTCCTGGCATGGGCATGGAAGAGGCCTGAGCCCCCGCGGAACCCAATCACAGTTGTGCTGCGCGTGGCATACGTGAGTTACGATGCACAAGCTATGTGGCGTAACCTAGGAGGTCCCCAAGAGCCCATAACGATGACCCCATGACTTCCCAAGAGGCCCCCTTGACGGCCCACACACGGCCCAAGAGACCCCGAAGACGCCCATGATGGCCTCCAGGACGGTCAGGATGGCCCCACAGAAGCCCAACATTGCCGCAAGATGCTTCCAGGACGGCCCAAGATGCAGTCAATACAGCCTAAGATGGCATCAGGATGGCCCAAGACGGCCTCCCAGAGGCCTCCCAGAGGTCCCAGGGGGCCTCCAAGAAATCCTCCAGGAAGGCCCGAAGAGACCATCATCGATCTTCCGTAGTTGATTGAAGGATTTCGGCGCAGGTTCTCTTCGGTCTTCGGACGGCCCAAGACGGCCCAATATGCCCCCAAGAGCGACCCAATATCGCTGAAGAGGCCTCCAAGACGGCCCCATGACGGCCCAAGGAGCCCCCAACACGGCCCCAGTAGGCCCCCGAAACGCCCAACATGGCCTCCTCGACGGGCCCGACGTGCCCCCTGAGGGCTCCAAGCCAGTTCAGAGAGACCCCGAAGTCGGCATCCGACGATTTTAGACGGGGTCCTGCCCCCTAGTTTGCCATAGGAGCCCCCGAGCCCCCAAAGGCCCCCAAGAGGCCTAAGGAGACCCCCAATAATCCTCCACGAGTCCCGCCAGGAAACCCCAAGTGTTCCCCAAGTGGCTCTCAAGCGGCCTCCCGCTCCTCCTCTTCCTCCTCCTCATCCCCACTTGTATTTCCCTTCCTCTTCTGCCTCATTCTCCCCCAATTGTTCCCCGCAGCGTTTCCCCAGCGGCCATAGCCCGATAGCTTGGCAAAGCTCTGGCGTCCAAGCGATGGCGAGCAGAGCGGACGTGTCCTCGGGTCCTCTCGCTACCTCTCTCAGCCGCAGCCCTCCCTCCTGAGGGGTCCCTGCGGGGTTCGGAGCCCCCTCCCCTCAATCGGAGGCCTGGAGGTTGACACCAACACCAATATCGGCGGTGTGCCTCCACCGGGGGAAAATGATCCCGATCTCGGTGATGGTGGTAATCTTTGGGACTTCTAGGTGGCCGAAAGATTACCACCAACACCGAAATCGAAGATCATATTCCCCTTGTGGAGGCACACCCCCTGTGCTGGTGTTGGTGCCCGTTTCCAAGCCTCCAACTCAGGTCTCGCGGGGCCTGCCGCGGCGCGTGCCCCCTGGGCTCCCCCGCGCCTCCCCGCGGGACTGCCTCCGGGCCCGAGGAGGGCCTCTCCAGGCGAGCCCCGCGGGCCCCGGGAGGGGCGCGGGGGGACGCGACGGGGCCCTGCGGAGGGCCTTCGGAGTCGCCGAGCGATCGCTCCAAGACGCCGAAGGGTGGCCCCCGGCGGCCCGAGTGGCCTCCAAGACGCCCCAAGAGGCCTCCATGAGGCCTCCAAGCGGCCTCCGAAGAGGGCCCCGGGAAGCAACAAAGCATAGCTGTTCCATTTGGTTTTGAGGACTGTTTTGAGGGGTTTTCGCGTTGTCGGCTTCCCGACGCTCCAGGACGAGCCAAGAGGCCCTCACAATCGCCCCAAGACGGCCCAAGAGGCCCCGAAGACGGCCCCCCCGAGAGGCCCCCAAGAGGCCCCCAAGAAGCACCAAGAGGCTGCCAAGAGGCCCCAAACAGGCCCCAACAGGCCCCCAAACGAACCCAAGAGGTTTCAAAAGTGCTGCCATGAGGCCAACGAGAAACCTACCAGGAGATCCCAACTAACTTTCAAGAGGCCTCTGACCCACAACCCAGGTACGGTGGCGGGATGGGCCGAAGGCCATTACACATACATGTCTGTCTGTCTGTCTGTATGTGTGTGTATGTATGTATGTATGTATGTATGTATGTATGTATGCGTGTGTGTGTATGTATGTAGGGGGGGCGTGAGTGGACAGAAATATTCGAACCCCAAAGCACCGCCTTTACTGAGATCAACATTGATGTCGGGGGCGCGGGGGTGATTCAGAATCTCCCTCGAATGTGAGAGGGTTCGAATATATTGTCCATCTACTGTCCTCCGATTTGCACCGCACACGAGAGATCATCTGACGCTGTCGTTGTGGTGCCGTTTTTTGTGCACGCAGTCTCTTGCTTGCTTGCTCTGCCGATCGGCGCGGGCCCTCGCGCCCCGCCCCCCCATGGAGTAGATTCACTGAGTGGATCTTGGCTGGCCGTTTTTGGGCGCCTGTTGCGACAGGATCGGGCCTCCCCCCTGGGACGCACTGCCCTCCTTCCGCCCAATGTCGAAACGCCGAATAAGAAAACGCTCACCAGCCGAGGTCTGGAGCCAGACCCCTCCCGACCCTCCCCCCCCCGTTCTGCCCAATGTCGAAACGCCGACATCCGTGCACATGCACATTGTGCGAGATCTCCTGGTTTTCAACGATGGGTTCAGCCCAGGGATTGTGGTCTTTGTGTGTCGCATTTTGGCTCAAGCGGAAAATATCTCCTGTCCTTCTGCTGCTACAGTCGCAATGGCCCAAGAGCGCTCCACGAGGGGCGACGATGGCACCAAGACGGCCTCGGAGGCCCCCAAGACGCTGCCAAGCTGCCCCAAGAGGCCCCCAGGAAGCCCCCAGGAAGCCCCAAGAGGCCCCCAAGAGGCCGCAAGAGGCCCCCAAGAAGCCCAAAAGAGGCTCCAAGAGGCCCCAAGACGGCCTCCAGACGGCCCAAGAGGCCCCCAAGATACCCAAGAGGCTTCCAAGAGGTCTCCCAATAGAGCTCGAAGACGCCAACACACATGTATGTTCCATAGGTTCTTGAACAATTTTGGCGTTTCCGCATGTTCCGCCTCCCGACGCTGGAAAACGCTCCGTGAGGCTCCGAGGATCGCCACAAGACGGAAACTACAGGAAACCCATGAACTCCAGAACGAACTTCAGATCTTCTATCGGACGAACCCCCGAACAGGAACCGAACAAAAGGCTTCAAAGCACCCCAAGACGGCCCAATAGGCTTCAAAGGCGCCGAGGAGACGTCCAAGACGGCCCGAGGGGGCCCCGACCGCGGCCCAGGATCGGGGACGTGAACCGAGAACCCGAGATCTTCGCCGCAGGAGACCCCCAGGAGGCTTTACGAGTTCCCCAAGAAGTCCCAAAGAGTTCCAAAAGAGCCCCGACCAGGTCGGCATCGCATGCGCCGTCGGATCTGACGAGCTTGCGTCGCAACTCGCTGACGTCTGGAACGCAGCTGCAAGGCTCGCGCCTTGGCATCGAAGGAGTGCCGTCAGGCGCGCGCGCATGGCGTGCGTCGAGTCATCTCGCGCCCTGACGGCCGCGGCTAATTTTGGCAGCGTGCGAATCGCTGAATCGCTGTGCGCACGGAGTCTCACCCCTTCTCTCCTCTTCCCGCCCCTCCTCCAATTACCCGCCGGGGAGCAGGTGGAGTATGTGTCGGTGCCCGTGTTTTTTTCGCGTTTGCTTGAGGCCTGACGAGGACACTGCCTATCCGTCGTCATTTTGTGAATGTGCGGAGGGTTTGGGGGATCGCGCAAACCTGGGCTAGACCGAGGTACGAGCTCCCGTACATGGACATTATATTCGCACCCTGTGGCCCAAGATGCCCCCCCGACCCCCCGAAATTAATATTGATGGCGTGGCGACGGGGGGGGCGTGAGTGGACAGAAATATTCGAACCCCAAAGCACCGCCTTTACTGAGATCAACATTGATGTCGGGGGCGCGGGGGTGATTTAGAATCTCCCTCGAATGTGAGAGGGTTCGAATATATTGTCCATCTACTGTCGCGCCTCCGATGTGCTGCCAGGTCGTCCGAATGGTCGTCAAGCTTGGCGCGTTGCCGCTTGTTTTAATCGATGGCAAGCGTGTGCGCGCCTTTTTTCCGTGACACCGCGATCAGCAGTTTGCCGATAGTGAATAGAGGAGTCGAGGGTGATCAGGAGGGATGGTGGCAGAAGACGCCGGAGCAGTCGGTCGGTGGAGTAGGCAGGGGACGGCCAGCCAGCGGGGGCATTGTGTTGCGTGCCCGATTTTGTTGCCAGCGCTTCACGCGCGAGTCAGGCGTAGCGTGCTGCCGCTTGTTTGAATCGATGTCAAGCGTGTGCGCGCCTCGACTCCGTGGAACCGCGTTCGGCCGTCTCCGTTGCAGACGGTGGACGGAGCAGGTCAGGGTGAGCAGGAGGGATGCTTCGGAAAGGAATCATACATGTAAGAATTCAGACACCGAAATGCAAGACTGAATGGTATGTATGCATGCATGCATGCATGTAAGTAAGTATGTATGTATGTATGTATGTATGTATGCATGTATGTATGTATGCATGTATGTATGTTTGTATGACTGTATATATACACATATGTAACGGCCATTTCAGGAGTGGCCAGACAGGACTGATGACCTCCTTACGTTAATTCGTCATTGCATGGCCTGGTATGGAATGTAGTCGCGGTAGTTTTATCGGGGGGCTACGCTCTGGCTTGTGCAACCCGGCAGCGCGCGTCCGGTTTGTGTACCCCAATCGGGGCTTCTTTACATGTGGGTGGCGCGCGCCAGTTCGAGCAGAGGTCGCCGTAGGTCGGCTTCTGATTTTCCCCATTGCGCACACTTCCTAGCTTCTTAAGTGCCTTGCCGATGATCCAGTCGTCTCACGTTTTCCTAGTGGTTATCCGCTTCAATTATCCCAAGCGTGACCCAGGAGATCAGGGCAGCTAAGCTACGCTACTCCCGATCGGCCCGAAGGTCGTGCCAGTCTAGAACCCGGGGGGCAAATCCTGACCGGTGCCTCAGGCACCCGGGCGAGTCTGCGATCGTCGTGCATGGAGTGCTTCACGGTGGATGGGGAGAAGGGTGGGGGCTGCAGAGGGGTGGATGGGG